TGATGCATATCCACAAGACAAGATGAAGTGCCCAAAACCGCTTCAAGTGGTCAATCAAACGTTGCCTCTTGGGCGGTCTTGTGGACTGATACGACGTCCGACTGCCTTTTCTTGAAATGGAGGCTGCGACTTGGTGTTTCTCGGTCGGAATGTAGGCCAGGTTCGAGTCTGAATCGAAATGCGCGAGATACATAAAGGAAGGCATTTCACCGTCAAGACTCAAAGAGAGAGTCGGGAACCATGGCTTCCATTCTGCAATGTGCATGCAAAGCGCAGATGTCTCTCTAATTAAAATGCCACAAACTGGTCAAGTTGCATTTATAGTGGCTGCCGTGGATTGATGGACGCTTCCCCACGATTCAATCGCATCTATTGCCTCGGCGTCATGTAGAAATACAGCAACACTAGCGAGCTGGATGGCCAGTCATGGCCGGCCATGGAGCGCAAACCCTACCGAAAAGAGGAATCTAGAGACTCCAAGACTGTTGCATCAGGCTGGGCTAATGTGAAGGAGGGGACTCCTCGGCTCCTTGTGACAGGAATGTCGATCATGTGCCACACGTACCGAGTAGACAAGTCGCAGAAACTGCAGAACTTGGCAGAAAAAACCATGCCATGAATCGGGACGCCGAGTTGATAGAGTGCTATAATTCATGTCCGTCGTGAAATTTCCGAGAGTGTGTTTCTTTGTTTTGGCAACTTGTCGACAATTCGTTTCAGCTTCATCCATGCGTGATGGCTCCTGTCTTTGGCCGATTTTGTATGCAACTCGGCTGGACAAGTCTTCCCCGCACTCTCTGGGGCTTGATCCTGGTTCCTGGTCACTTGGAACATGAAGCTTCAAGTTGATAGGTCAATTCATCGAGTCTCCAGCAATGACACGGTAAAACAGCAGCGGGATACGACGTGTTTGCGAGTCCGTGCTACACCTTGACCCATGCCTCTTGTCTTGCTCGCGCTGAGGTTTGGTATTTCTTTCCCTTGTTCCCCATTGTCTTCTTTGCAAATCTAGTCGAATTTCCTGCCCATTCTCTACAGCACCAGCCTGGATCATGTTGGCGATCGGCTCGTTACCGCCATCATTGATGGTTGCCAGCTCAGGAGCATATTGACGAGATTGCGCTGCGGTGCAAAAAGTACAAGTCTCGTCTGTGCCAACCATGCAAGTTCCCCTTGATGGGTTTCGAAAACCCATTAAGCCCGCGGACTGTGGCACCGAGCAGCAAATGCATTCTTCCAGTCTGCTTCTTTTTCCTTCAACCAGCTCTCACCATCTACCCGCCCCCGGTGTCATAGAAGCCACCAGACGGGTCAAATTGCGCCTAAGCGACCATCCACATGGTTGTTGACAGTGCTAAAGAAAGACAGCATGGCCCAACCCGTGTCTCGATTCACCCGCTTGGTAGGACCGTATAAATCCCTCAGGTCCCACGGCGTTTGCTCGCTCGTTGATGCAAAGGACGAGTGGTTGAGCAGACTATTGGACCAAGCGGCGTGGCCGATGGATACATGTATTGGTGAATGCGTTCCAAAGCACAGCACGGTACAACCGGGTGTTCCTGGATGGCGGAGGGATTCCCGAATGTGTCAACATGAACTGATTGGCCCAATTCAACCAGTCGAAGCATCGAAACGCCACATTTTCCCCAACTCGACCTTTGGCAGAACCATTGATGGAGTTGTGGGATGCAGCCTCTGCCGATTAGCCGGAGCAACCATGTTAATGCCGGATTTTGGCTCGGTGAGGTCCATGTTGAGGACGGATGGAAACAAGGTTATATTCTGTCCTCGAAACGAGGTGTTTCTTTCCTTGTCTCTTTTCTTTTTTCCCAATGAGCCGACGTAGAATCCGTCCAAGTGACACTTTGAGATGCATTCACTGCACATCCAATTCGTGGTTCTGGGACTGCACATGTCCCATTCGGTTGCGGCAGTCGTCACTGATATTCCCAGTATATACACATCTTGGGGAGAGCTCTCGGTCTATGCCGACAACGCCGAGGATGCCTTTGGGGTGCAATATGTTGGCCTCCCAGATGGATGCCAAGTGGTGAGTCGCACCCTCTCCGGGGCCCTTGACCACGACAACGCTCGATTTTGACTCGGACCGCGTCAGGAATCTGTGAGCACTCTTCAGCGCCACGCGGAGCGATATCCAGACAGCGTGGACGGAGCAGTTACCGGCGGATTCGCGCAAAAGGTGGCAAACTACAGCAAGGCCAACGGCGGCGAGGCATTCACGGGGCCGTTGACGTTTCTGAATTCCTATGTGTACATCCTGAATGACACGGGACTTCTCACAGGCCGCGGCGCCAGCACCGAATTCAGCGCGGGCGCATCGTTTTGGAACCGATACGGGCGGACTCTGTACAATGCCTCGGTCGCCCAGTTGCAATACAGCCCGACCTTTGCGAGCAATGGGAGCGCGCGCCCCAAAGTCACTCTGCGAACCACTGGACAGTCGAGAATCGAGAATAGCCTGGTCAACTGGTCACTCGGGTTCTTCGGTCCGTCCTTCAACTCGACCCCAGATCCAGCACTGACGGAATGGGAGAGCCCGTTTCGAGTCGTCGTTATTCCTGAAGGCGGCACCGAAAACAACACTCTTGCTTCCTACGACAGCTGCTTCAACGACAACAGCGACTCAAATGCCAACATTGCGTCTCGGCTCCAAGACGCGTACAAGAGGGTGTACTTGCGCTCCGCGCTTCGTCGGCTCCAAGCGTACGCGCCACGAGGCTTCACGTTTGACTACCAGGACCTGTATGCCATGCAAATGACGTGTGCTTACGAGTATTCCTTCATTGGCATGTCCGACTTTTGCAGCTTGTTCACGATGGAAGACTGGCACGGCTTCGAAAACGTCCTCGATCTACAGTGTGAGCAGGCCGTCGCCATCGTCCGATCCGGCTTCAATGTTTGCAAAAATTAACACGGCGGGCAGATTATTACCTCTACAGCTACGGCAATCCCACCGGCCGCGCCCAGGGCATCGGCTACCTGCAGGAACTAATGGCTCGCATTCGTCACCAGTTCATCACGTCTTCCAACTCATCCGTCAACGCCACGCTCGACGACAACCCAACCACCTTTCCTCTGGGACAGCAAATCTATGCCGATTTCTCCCACGACGACATCATCATCTCGGTCCTGACCGCCATGTCGCTAGACTACCTCAAGGATGCGCCGACAACGTCCAAGTTCCCCCCGAGCTCCGACAACCACTTCACCCTGTCGCGCCTCACCCCCTTTGGGGCCAACCTCATCACCGAGGTCATTGGCTGCGGCGCGTCTGATCCAGAGCCCGTGGAGAGCCGCCGCGTTCCTTATGCGCCGGGGCAGTACGGCTACGAAGCGTCCAACTCGAGCTACAAATTCGTGCGGATGCGCCTGAACAATGGCATCCTGCCGCTCAACACGATTCGCGGCGGGCAGTGCGGCAACGCAACGTCTGGCCGGCTCGACGGCCTGTGTGCGCTGGGTAGTTTTCTCGAGAGCCAGGAGAGCGCATTCGAGTTGAGCAACTATGCCTTTGCCTGCTTTGGCAACTACACCCTCGCAAACTCCACCACGGGCATCGACTATGATGGTACGATTGTCCAAGGGAGGGATTACACTCGGGTTTGAGTGACTTGGGCGTGATGATGGCAGGATCTGACATGGATGCACATGACCCTCGATGCTAGCCTTGAAAAGGACACGATGTGTTGCAGAACGCGGGCACTATGCGTAGATGACGATGCAGGGCGACTGGTATAAGCACTAACGAGACGGTGACGTAGCAGGGAAACTCGACGTGCAGCTACATGTTGAATTGTTACTAAATTAGACATTGACAATGTCATTGTCGATGCGAACCGCATTTCCATTCACTCGGCGTAATCGGACAATTGTTTCGTAGCCTTGGCCGCCAACACCGCTTTACATTCCTCCGTAGTAGTCTCGGCCTTTGTCTCGGTGGTGGAGATTTGTATCCCTCCATGTTTATGTTTCAATCGGCCCCGTTCTAAACAACTAGTTCGTTCCCGTCTAATTGCCGTGCTTGGCAGGGTCTTGTGGTCGTCACTTGACACGGCCACTTCAGCGGTGAGTGTCCATTGAGAAGCATCGAGGTGATATCCCTTCAATGTTACGTAGTTGGTAGTCCTCCTTCCAATTCGTTTGCGGGCAGGGACTTGCTCATGTGTTGTGTTGGCGAGATGCTCATCTTGAACCACTTGACTACATGTAGCCAGGGCTACATACGCTTACATGGAACTTATTGTTTATTTCGCCTCGGATAAACGCCACTCCAACAGTGAGCCTAGGTATTGACAGGCACTGATTTTGCTGCACGGAAGTCATTGCCGGCCCAAGCAGTTGGAGGCCTTGTGATCATGGCGACCGTGGACAGTAACACCAGACTAGTTAGTTGTCAACGTAGCAAGTGCCTGGCTTCAGCGGCGAGACATTATCCACTAATGGCCGTGATTCCTTGTGCTCGGCCGTCAAAATAGTAGGTACTAGGTGGCAGCGAGACGGAGGCCGGACGGACTGGTGACCATCGGATGAGCATCACTGGCGGGCCAACCAGCTCAGCTTCACCGTCATAGGGTTGCAATGACGGGTAGCGGATGCAGGGAGACAGACCCGGCCTCCCGATGCTCGTATTTGCCCCCGCAAATAAGCGTATTGAATGTGGAGAGAGTCTTTGCCGTTGGGTGCCGTTGGGCGCACCACATACGTCAGAATCCGTCATGGCTTAGAGTCAGTGTCCGTCATGCACCCGGCGAGCACTGAACGTCGGTGGACTGACCATCACTGAGCAACTCGGCCAAGTGTTGCTGGGGGGTTGTGAATTGTTATATATACCGGGCATTGGCCTGCAAGGTGGACGTTGGAACCCATCTCTCTTGAAATCAACATCATCTCCTACGTCAACACCATCCCCGGCTTCGAGACTCTGTGCACCAACCCACAGAACATCCGCCAAACTATTGATTGACAATACTCGGACAAGAATGAAGTCTACGGCTGTCTTGGGTTCCCTCGCCTTGGGCGGGCTGGCAGCAGGCCAAACCGTCCAGTCAAAGCCATTCAACCTGCTCGTGCAGTCGGACAGCAAGGAACTCGACGGCCGTGCCCTGAGTACATGTCACACGGGGGCGGCTATTGAATCCATCTGTCTTCTCAGCGACGCCAAGGCCGTCTTCAACCTCAACACCACCGAAGGTGCCCAACCTGGACCCGGTGGCCTTTCTGGCGTTCTGGCTTGGACTCTGCCATCTCGTATGTATCATCATCATCATGTCATGAATGAAGCCACTGTGGCAAGTGTCAACTAACCAATATTTCACAGAGCCACCTATTCCATCCAGCATGTCCTTCTACACCGACCCGTCTACCAACGTTGCCCTCCCCCTCTTCTATCCCGGAGCCAACAACGTTCAATACGTCGGCTTTGATGGGGACGATCTCATGAATATTGTCAGCTACCTTGATGATACGAAATCACCGCCCACTGGTCAGGATCCCCGTGTTCTCAAGCGTTGGTACGTCTGCACCACATACAACGTCGGCTACACCTACCAGACTCTCACTTGGGTCCTGGGCGGCGCAAACCCCCAGAATCCAAGCTGTGTAAAGGTTGATGTCAAGAGAAAGTTTGTTGAGGAATAGACTGAGGTCAAGAGGATATGATGGGGATAGCATAGCATGGTATGACACTTGGCACGTAATACAATTTAATATAATACACAGTCTCGCAACCACTGGCATGTTTGCATACAATGGATTGGCCTTGTGCCCTGTGACATTTACAAAAGACTGCCCGACTGACTACTACCCCCGAGACTCAGATCTCGGATGCCTAAAGAGGCAATCGGTGGCCAAACGGGGAGGAATCAGGCAGATTAAATCCCCAGACACGCTTACAATCCCATCTTACGCGCTCTTTGCCTTGTTCCGCTCCCTTTCTCCGAGTCAGTGCGTCTATCACGGCTACTATGCCCTCTTGGGGAATCCCTTCTTTATGCAAGATCCAGCGATTCGCTACTTCATTAGCAATAAGATCATTGTCACGACGGATATCCAGCGCAAGAGAGTCCCGCTGACAATCCACGAAATTATGCACACGATTGACCAACCATTTGCCAGCGCATTGGTGTGTGCTTGGCTGAAGCGTATTAGGTTGTCAATCGCTTGTTTCTTTACTTATTGTCATCCAGTAGAGACTGATGCGTAATGCCGGCAAGCCATGGCACTCACGTCGAGGCCTCAAGACACATACGAGTCCTACCCATGGATGCAGCCGCCCATGCAGTTGACATGTATTTATTAAGCCTCTCTGTTTCCCCTACTTCTTTGCTTCGTACAATGCCACCGGCACGCCCTGTCCCGGACATCCAACCAGCTCCGCCTTGTGAAACTGCGCATTCCAATCGCCGCGGTATTCCACACGCTCATATTTCTGCAAAAGGCGCACCACTACGCTTCAGAGTTAGCATCGTCTCCCATTCCAAACGGGCGTGGAAAGAAATCCTCACTGGTAAAGGCCATCTCGGTGACGGCAAAGTTTTGGCCGATGCAGATTCTCGGCCCGCCGTTAAAGGGCACGTACTGCCACGGCTTGGGGGTCCATTTCTCCCATCGATCGGGGCTGAAGATGGCGGCGTCGGCGAAGGAATCCGAAACGGGCGGGTAGAGATCAGGTCGGCGCTGCATAGCCATGGTGCTGTAGATGACGATGTCGCCTGTCGACGTTGCGATTTCCGGCTGGCCTTCGGGCGTGGGAAGGGTAGAGTCCTCAACTACATCACAGATAGTCAGTGTCTGTTCACATCAGTATACGGGCCAAGCACGTACTGCAGCCGCGAATGTTATAAGGGACCGCGGGGTACAGCCGCAGAGTCTCGTTGATGGTGTGCGTCAGGTAGGTCAGGTTTTTGAGGTCCTCGTACGATGGCGTTCGAGTTGGGCCGACGTGCTCGAGGACTTGGTTTCGGAGCTTTTGCCACACGTCGGGGTAATTGGCAAGTTCGTAGAGAGCCCACGATAGCGTTGCGGCCGTCGTGTCTCGGCCGGCAATCAAGACGGCAAAGATCTGGTCCCGGATCACCTGGGGGTCTCGTGAAAACAAGGCAATGTTGTGAAGAAAGGTGAATTCCTTGTCCGACTTTGACAGCTGCTCGAGCTCCTCCATGGGCAGGCGCAGCGTTGACTCAATGTACGGGGTAATGAAGCGCTCGATTACTTTGATTCCGTCATAGTATTTGCGCAGTGGCAGTACGTGACGGAATGGGCTGCACGCGGGATGGATTAGTACAGAGATGACTCGGCGCACGTCACGAAGGCACAGGGAAGACGGGGTTTCACGTACTGCAGGATGACTCGAATCATCTGCATGCGTTGTACATCGGTGAAGGCTTGACTGAACTCGCTGTTGGGGTTGTCCAAGGCACCGACAGTCTGCCCCAGGAGGAAGTCGGTTGAAACATCCAGCGTCATGCGGTAGAACAAGTCGCAGATGTCGACAGTCTGTCCCGAGGCTGGAAGCTTGGACATCAAGACATCGGTCCATTGCGAGAAAATCTCAATGTCTCGGACGCGCTCTTTTGTGAACATGGGTCTGATGAGAGCGCGGCTCTTCTGCCAGAGCTGTCCGTCGGTGGTGAAGATGGAGTCTCCCAGGAACGGGCTGGCCGCCGTGTGGACCAGCTCCCCCTTTCCATACTGGGTGAACTTGCTCGTGAGAACGGTTTTGATGTGCTCTGGATCCCGAGTAATGACGACGCGCCGTCGGCCAAACTGTAGCTCGACAACATGGGGGTTCTGGGGGTCCCCCTTGCTGAACATGGTATTGAAGTGCTCCAGCATGCGGTTTGTTGCTTGCATATAGGCCGATTGGGCAAAAAAGAACAAGACTGCACAAAAGGATTAGCTCGTGCGGGCATCGATGCGAGTGTTGGCCATGTACCTCCAAAAGGGTTCCCGGACAGGATGGGCGCCCTCGTGCCGGGACTCTTCCGCAGCCGAATCGGCATGTAAATTAACTGAAATATCCATAATGCCATGAGAAAACCCGGCAGTGCCAGCACCACGGCCCACGGGTTCACTGTAACCATGAGCATGGTTGTTGCAGGCAGGTTGCCGCAGTAAGAAAGACGTCTGGTGTTTTATGCCGCGTATTGAGCGCCGTGTTTGGGGGGCTCCGGAGTCTAACGCCTTGCTCACCAACAACGATGGGCAGACGAGTGGCCGGCACTCGGGTCGATACAGGTAGAGACGGATCAATGGTATTTTATAGTGCTGGGAGAAGGGTCAATGGGATGTAAATGCCGTTGACCAGGTTGGTGCGTTGATGACATGGCCACGGGAGAAGGGGGAACGGAGCGCAAAGGGAGGGCACCCTGTCACGGCCATCGGGCAATCGGGCAAAGTGTTGACGCCTTGCAAGCTCTAATTATGAACCATCAGAACGGTACCAAGACGCAAGTGGAGTGATGGACCGTGGCGTCGACTGACAAGCTACGTGCCATTTGACGGGCCAGGCGGAGACTGCGATGTTGCATGGAGCTGTCCGGAGCCGCGGAGCAACTTTGCATTTGATACAAGAGTATGTTGAATCTTTCGAGACCAGATGCAGACTCCACCCCCGCATTTGATTCCATGTCCTTGACGGCTTGATCACCGGACTCTTGCGGGCGAACCAGTTTGCTTGCCATGGTCAGCTTGAGAAGCATGCCCGGCTGTCTCAGCTGCCTCTCAACCTCGACGCCAGAGGGGTTGGGGCTACGAGTCAGTTTCATGTCCCAAAGGAACCTCGACCGGACGTGTCGACGGTGACCCCTCTTCACATGCTTGCCAACCCTGGGTGACAAGCCAAATACAAATTTGAACCATCAATGGAAATCCCCGCAATTTGCGTGTCGGGCCTGGGAAGTTGCGCGCATGGGACGGCGGGTGCGTCAATGGCACCATGTCTCTGTATCCCAACTGCCGGAGTGAGACACGCACGGATAAAGAAGCTGTCAATGGCATTGTCCCGTGCCGGCTTATGAACCAAGCTAGGGAGTACATATGTAGGTACCAGCTAACTAAACGCCCCTGTATTCCTCCTCTATCAAGTTCGCGCAGGGTTCGAGAAACAGCATCACATGCTAGAGGAACATGTTCAAATACACAACCATTGACCCTGTGATATTCGTCCAACAGAGAACCGTTCAGCAGATAGTAGAGAGCATCATATTCCCGTAGCAACGCACAGACGGTGGCTTCTTTCTCCAACGCAGAGCGTCCTGCTTGGTCTTCCATTTTGGTCGGCACGAGTCCATTGCGCGCTGTTCATGTCCATCAAGTTGGGCCAGGGATATCATTCTCTCGAGTGTCGATTCCCCAAATGAGAGAAATCCCATGCATGAGCCTCCTTGACCCGTGTTTCATGCCCCCCCTCCCCGGAAACGCGATTGTTGGCCACGACCAGCGACGTCCTTCAAACCCGGTATGCACGTACTTGCGGAGTCAAGTTGCTTATACAACCCCGAACTCCGCTGTTTGTCTTTCCGAAATCCATCTTTGCACGTGCTAGCCGGCTTTATTTGGCCTGCACTTCCAGAACGGCCAGATTCTCGAGCACGAGCTGACGGGCCTTTTCGCCGTCCCCTCCTGCTCGCTGCCTCGCCTCGGCCAGCGCCTTCTTGAACTTGCCGTTGGTGGCGTGAAGGGCATCCAGCAGCCCCGTCGGGCCAAAGTTTTCGTCAAAGGCAAAGTGGTGAAAGTCGTGCTGCAGGTTCGAGTGCATCCAGGGAATGTTGTACCCCGAGTGCGAGCAAATGGTGCCAAACTCGAGAAAGACGAATGTAAAGACGGCCTGCGACCAGTGGTGCCTCACAAGCAGGGTGCCAATGACGTTGGGGAGCAGGTTGGACAGGATGTGCTCCGTCACGGTGCAGTACGTGGCCGCGAGACCTACCGGCGCCGTGAACTCGTGGTGCTGCTTGTGGAACAGCGAGTAGAGCGTCTTGCCGTGAAGCAGTCGGTGAATATAGTAGAATCCGACTTCGGTACACAGCACGTCGAAGAGGATGGTGGCCACCGTCTCCAGCTTGCCCGGCAACGCGGCCGAGCCGACGGGCCGCAGCGGGCCAATGTACATGGTCGCGAGGAGCAGTGGCCCGGCGACCAGGACTTGGTTTCTCAGCGAGATGAGGGCAATGTGGGCGTACTGTCGGAGGTCGACTCTGACAAACGGCTGCGTCTTGTACTTGAACAGCCACGCCGGGTAGCCGGTGAGATCGGGGATCGCAAACACGGCGCCCCAGACCCAGAAGAAGATGGACGTGATGAGAAAGGTGCCCCAAAAATTCACGTTCCATTCGCCGTAGTTTGTCTCGATGCCGTCGTAAAAGTTGCGCCCGAGTTGGGACGCGTTGAAGGCAACAAAGCTGCCCACTATGACTACATCAATGGCAAACGACTTGAGGGCGCCTCCGTTTTTGAAGGCGGCCGTTGAATAGAGCCATCTTTTGCTCTGTGGGATTGGATTGCCAGACAGGTCCTTTGGCACAAATCGCTTGGAGCTGCGCGAGACCGGGACCTGTTCCCCGGTCGCAACCTGCACAGTTGTGCTTTGGGCCATCTGGAATTCGGTGCCTTGTATGATGCCTTTGTAGCTGTACTCC